CCCCAAAACCCCAAAACCCCAAAACCCCAAAACCCCAGAATACACGCTATTATTGAAATATTAAAATGTCTTTGATGAAGATGACCATTAGCGACTCAGAAGAAGAGGTTGAGCAAATTCAGCCTCCTGAGTCTATTCCAAAGGAAGAAGTTCAACAAAAGAAGAAAAAGAAGAGATCCAAGAAAGAAAAAGCAAAGAAAGAAGAAAGTGAAGATGAAGCAATGGATTTAGACCAGAACTTCACTCTTATCGACGATAGCATCAAGAAAGATTTATCCAAAATTCAACACAGAAGGGAATATGATGCTACTAACGAATCAGGAAAGCAATGGAAGTTCGGAAATGCTGTTAAGGACGATGTTCAGTCAAACATTAGCCAAAATTCTTTAGAAAAGCTAAGAAATCGTATTCTTGAACTCAAAAAGGAATTAAATTTCGAAGAGATTGATAAGGGAATAGAAGAGCTTACAAGAAACTTAAAGAAAGATAACATTAGCGAGCTGAATACTATGGAGAAGCCAAAGAAAGGGGGTAATTTAGGGGCCCATGCTAAAGTTCATTATGAGAAGGATGATTTGATCTCGTTTCACGATCTTTTTCTCTCAAGGCCATTAGTCAAAGCTTGCAATAGCTTAGAATATGATCATCCAACAAGGATCCAAAGCCAAGTCATCCCTAATATTCTTGAGAATAGAGACTTGTTGGTTAATGCTGTCACTGGAAGTGGTAAAACAGCATCATATGTGCTTCCAATTTTAGAGAAGCTTCATAGAAGAGATTTGAGAACTTCGAAAGTTAGCAATACAAAAATTGGCAAAACAAGAGTGTTAATTTTGCAGCCCACCAGAGAACTCGCAGCCCAATGTAGTTCGATGCTTGACAACATGAATAAATTTATCATCCCAAAAATATCATACACTACTATTATTGGAGGTTCATCTATGAAGAAGCAAGAGGCAGAGCTTATGGACAAACCTGACATTGTTGTTGCCACTCCAGGAAGATTGCTTGATATTTTGATGAACTCTAAAAGTATCTATTTCAATAATATTGAGGCTTTGATTCTTGATGAAGCAGATAAACTACTTGAAATGGGATTCCAAGAAATGATTGAAGAGATCCTCAAGAATATCAAGAAGGACAGTGACGTAGAAAACGTCCAGACTTGCTTATTCTCAGCAACTTTGACCAAGGATATCAAAAGACTTGCCTCATTAGCTTTGAGAGATCCTAAATTAATATCAGAGGCAAAACAGCAGAACTCTGTGAATGCTTATTTGAAACTTTCACACTACATTGTCAAGGTTCCAGAAATTGAAAGAGTAAAGAAGGAAGATAATAAGAAGAAGAAAAAGAGAAAGAACTCATTCAGCGATGACAGCGATTCTGATGAAGATGATGACTCTGATAGTGACAAAGACTCTAACAAGGAGGAATCAGAAGAGAAGAAAGAGGCCCCTAAACAATCTGTGATAGTAAATACTAAGGCTAGAGTGCAAAGAATCAGAGAGTCTATTATTCTTAGCTTAGTTATGAAAACATATACCAAGAAGACAATTATTTTTGTAAACACTAAAACTCAGTGCCATAGAATGTACGTATTATTTACTTTCTTTGGACTCAAGGTAGCAGAAGTACATGGAAATCTATCTCAAAAACAAAGAATGGAGTCTGTTGAGAAATTCCAAGCTGGAGAAATGGACTTCTTAGTTTCAACCGACCTTCTTGCAAGAGGACTCGATATTTACAATGTTCAGTGTGTCATCAACTTCTCATTCCCAAACGAAGAAAATAGATATGTGCACAGAGTTGGAAGAACTGCCAGAGCTGGTAATTCAGGAGTCGCTATCACTCTTTGTGATGAGAACGATAGAAAACAAACGATGAAGGTAGTGAGGAAGTGCAAAGGAAATGCAAAGAACTATTCATATACCAAGCAGTTGAAAGACAGCATCTTCACTTTAATCAATTTGCTAGACGAACCAATCCACAGACTCATTCAGGAAGAGAGATCTGACTTCCAGCTTGAAAAGGCAGAGGTAGATCTGAAGAAAGCCCAAAATATTTTGTCGTATCAGGATGAAATTTATAATCGTCCAAAGAAAGAGTGGTTCCAAAGTAAAAAGCAACAGAAAGAGGCCTTGAAGCAAGGAAAACAAGAAATGAAGGATAGAGAATTCAACCCTCATGGTATGGATAATGAAGAAACTCAAAGAGCTAAACTGATAGCCAAGAAGAAAAAGCAGATAGAGAGAATCAAGAAGAGGAAGAGAGAACTCAGAGAGCAAGAGAAGAGAGGAATCATGTTTGAGAAACGTGAAGTGAAACGTCAGAAGAGAACAAAGATGCATAAGAAGCATAAAGACGAGCCTGTAGCACCAAAACCCAAAGTGAAAAAAGTAAAGTCAAAGAAAGTTCACGGAAAAAGCTCAATGTTCAATTCGGAGATATAACTTAATTATTTTAAGTATATGTTGGTTTCATTGTCTTATTTGTCATTTGGGGTTTTGGGGTTTTGGGGTTTTGGGGTTTTGGGG